CCCTTTGGGTTGTTTTTTTAAAAACAAAAAAAAAAAAAAAAAAAAAAAAAAAAAAATTTTTTTTTTTTTTTTTTTTAAAAAGCATTTTTTTTTTTTTTACAATTTTTTTCATTTTTTTTTTTTTTTTTTTTTTTACATTTTTCATTTTTTTTCATTTTTTTTCATTTTTTTTTCCGCATTGTGCATTCTGTTTTTTGGCATTATTTTTTTTCTATTTTTACCCTCCCTCTTCTTATCCTTCTTCCTCCCCCCTCTTTTCCCTCCTTGCCTTCGTCCTTCTTCCTATACTTTTATCACCATCTATGTCTCCTCCTCCTATGGTCTATTCCTGTCACTTTTTAAATCACAATTTCTTCCTTAATATATTTTCCTTTCTCGCGCTTCTTTTCGTCCGCATGTTCCCCGCGCCTTTTACATTTTCTCATCTTTACTCAGGGTTCTTTTCCACAATTTCTCTCTTCCTTCGTTTGCTTGTCTGTTGTCTCTTTCTTTTCTCCGCCCTTCGTTTTCCTTTTTCTCTTTCCTCCCTCCCATCTCTCCTTTCTTCCTCCATCTATCCTCCATTCTTTTTTTACTGTCCTTTCCTGTTCTCCCCAGTTCCTTTCCTCTTCTCTTCCCTCCCTTCCCCTCCGTGTCCTTTCCCTCCCTATCATTCTTCTCCCTCTTCCTCCCCTTTTGGTTCCTCCCCCGTCCCTCCCCTACCCCTTTTCCATACCTCCTCCCCCCTACTCTTCCCTTTCCCTCTTCCTCCCCTTTCCTTTTCCTTCTCCGACCACCCCTTTTTCCCTTCCTCCTCCTCCCTACCCCCCTTCCCCCTTCCTCCTCCCCTCCCCTTCCCTTTCTCTCCTCCTCCATACCCTTTCCACTCCTCTTCCCCTACCTTTCCCCTTTCACTCCTCCTCTCCTACCCTTTCCCCTTCTCCTTCCCTTCCATTCTCTTCCCCTCCTCATCTCCCTTTCGCCAAACCCTCTTTCACGAATCTTGCTCACACACCTTGCATTCATCAAGACACGTGCAAGCTCCGTCGTGTGTCTTCCTCCATTTTTCTTCCTGCGTGCTTCGTCTCTCTTTATCACTTTCTCCTCTATTCATCTTCTTTCTTTCTATCTTGATTACTATCTTTGTCATCATCGGCAGTTGGTTCTTTGGCTTTTAGCTTACTTTTGATTTTAGTTTTTTTTAATCCATTATTTTTGTCCTTAAGTTTCGTTCGTTTTTAATTTGGCATTTTTTGTTTATTATTTATCATTCCACTTTTTTATCATTATTATTGTTTAGCCTTTATTTATCATGCTTGTTATTTGTTCATCCACTATCTTCGTTTTTTTTATCTTATCTTACTTTATTCATTCACCATTTTCATCCAGTACTTTATAGAACATACTCGTTTGTCATGTAATTCATTAAGCTTTGTTAACCTTTATCCTTTTTCCTTTATTATCTCGTTTCTTCGCAATTACTTCTATGTTCATAATTAAAAAAAATAATAATTCAACATTCATTTGTACAGTATTTTCTAACTCATTCAATATCAATTCACTTAAAATCATTCATTAATCTATTCCTTAATCACCTGTTAATTTCCTCCCTAACTGTTCCTTCTTTATCATCTATTCGCCTATTTCCCTTCTTC